TTTTTAAACTAAAACTAAAATTGCACATTGCAAATACTGGAGTGGCTGCACCTATCAAGCTATAATAGTGACCGATTTCAAAGTGGAGCCCAATATTCATCACACAGTCTCCACAAAAATATCATCGTTATACATGATATCAGTATGAATATGTAAATTAGTAAAAAATGCTGACATGTTGAAAGACTTTTTGACACAGTAAAACCATACATTTACACCACCAGAGGCATTTTTAGGCATCAAAACACTGCCGACATTAAATCTAACAGGGAAAAAATGCATACCATTAATACCCCAATATTGCATTCCACTGCTACAGTTTTCCAAATGTAAACACAAGTAAAACTTATAAAGTGCTTAGTTCATAAGAGTCTCAATCTCACAAAATGTATTTTTGACATTCACTGCACTAGTGTGAAGTGCATCGTCTCATCCTTTAGCTTTATATTTAAAAAAAACAAACACTGTAACAACCGCTCCCATGAGCCAATAAGAGGCTTTCAATCGTTCTGATCTGCTTCGGTGTGCCGACGCAAACAACTGACCGAGTCCCTCAGCAGGTACAAACAAGACTGTGCCACATTTTTGGCGTCCAAGTCAAATCTCCTATTGCGTCTTGTGTTATATAAATGATGTAATAAAGAATGATTGACACTTGCACAGGCCTTTTTTTTTTTTTACAAATACACAAATTTTCACTCTCAGTTTGGACTTGGATCACAACACTGTGCTTGCAAGTCAAATCTGCAGAATGTCACCCTGAGCAGAACTGCAGTGGAAGCTCCCTTACATTATTACTGTTTTTATTTAACAAAGATTATTTGCATTCTACATATTCTTTCATTATTTTATTCGGATTTGTGTCCGTAGTGTAAATGGCAGGCTACCTAATACTCTGACTTGCAGCATTTATTGTCTCTGGTAGCTCGCTGCTGCAAACAACCGCACCGAACCGCGCCTCCTCTCATACCTGCTCACTGTTATTAGAGCTCTCCTCTGTGCATTTGGTGGAGGCTGGAGGGAGCAATGGGGACGTGAGATTCAGGTATCCCTGCTCAGATGGCTGGTGTGTGGAGAAAGGCGCCCGGGTGCCATCCACCACCACGCGATCGCTCTTGGCGCGACAGATTGCGTCCAGGATGTCCAGCGGGTCACATGAACCTGCCGTCAGACTGGCGATGTGACAAACCAGCGATTACTACAAGTTACAAATATCAGTCAGCACATTATGTCAGAGCCAAACTCTCTTACCTTAGTGCAGATGAATGTAGGACGCCATCAGAAGGCAGCACTTTTTTGACATTCTGTTGAGCATTTGAGCCATTTATCAAACACAGTTCTATGTTTTATATCAAAAAATCAAAAGACATGTCAGTAGTTTTACATGAAGGTAAACTGCTCCTCTTATACTTAAAACATAAAGCATCAGCCATGAGAGAATGTACTTTGAAACAAATGGCAGATTCTTAAATTTGTTTCATGAGCTCAAACACTGACGAGTTTTGGGTGGCATGTTCCGCTAAGACATAAAGATGTGTATGGTGCTACCTCCAGGCTGTAGAACGACTGGACGTTCCTCAAGGCGCGCTCTAAGGAACTGACTTGGTTGGAGAGCTTCAGGGTTCGGTCCTGTAGTTGTCTGTTTTCCACTTCTAACACGTTGACCCTTAAATAGATTCATGTTTAGACTTACTCACAACTCAAAAACAATTTACCCAAAGTGCTCTTTATGTGCTCAGTAATGTGGAGAAACATGAAAAGTAGTGTGTTGACAGGGTAGGCGAACAGCAAAAGCATTGTTTTCGTGTGGTGCAGTTAATAGTGATTGAACACTTTAGGAGACAAACTTAGATCAAATCCAATGAAGTACAGAGTTGAGGTTTTTGTAGTATTTATTAAATACAACAGTTAAAAATGTAGTAAGTCAAAGTTTTATGGTTAGCAGGTAAAACAGTGAATCATTCAGATACCTGTGTTGGACTGTTGAGGCGGTCCTCATGCCTTTGCTGCCCATTTCCTCTGCCTCGCTTATCTTACGCAACAGTTCCCTCTTCTCTTCCAAAAGCTTCTCATTTTCTTCCATCACTGTCTGGATCCTTTCCTTCTCCTAAAAGCCAACAGGGAGGAGACAAGAGGGAAAAATACATAAAAACCAAGAGACAAAGATCTCTAGAGGTACATTTAGAGGGAAAAGGACTCAAAACAGCATCCTGCAACATGTGACCTTGTGTGAAAGGCTGGAGGCCAGCACCAGGTCGTTCTCCAGCTTCTGGATGGTGCAGTCCCTCTGAGCTGTCGCCTTAAGAAACAGCTGCTTGGCCTGACGCAGCTTGGTCTTGTGCTGGCTCTGCTTCTCGTTGTACTTCCTGGTTGGCAGAGCAGAGGACATGAACAGCAGGAAAAACAACAACTTTATGTGCTGTAACTAGAGACTATACCATGGTTATTTCTTAGCCACTTTAAGTTTATAATACCACATTCAGTGTAAATACTGTATTATCTGTGTTGTACCTGACATGTGCATCACATTGGAGGAGGACCTGTTGCAGCTCCCCCTGCAGTCTTTCACACTCCTGCTGACAGGCCACCAGCCCCTCCTGCAATCTGTGGCTTGACTTCTGGCTGTCTTTTGCCTGGAGAACACATAGTACACGTATGTTTAAATTCAGATTGAAATACCACTGAACACATTTTGAGGTATTAACACTAAACTGCCACGAAGGCCCCATCACACTACCAACAGGACCCTACAGATCCACTTTCAATGTCCCAGTGCCAGACACCCCAAGACAGAACCAGAAGCCTGAGTGGAGGGGAACCAAAACAATATTCTTCTGGAAAAAAATGACAAAAATCTGCTCTGTGAAAATTATACACAGCAACTTTAATTATCAGTTTTGGTGATGTAGAATGTTACATTAATCAAACTTTTTTTGGTGTCATGGCCGCCTAACTTGTGCGAGTGATTACGATTGACTACAGCTGCTGAGCTTTCTGAGCCTATTTGATAAACCTATGGAAAGTCTAAGGGGCTTAGCACAAATATGAAAAAGCCAACCAGAGCCAAAGTTACTTGGAGCCATTTCAAAGCAGCTACAGATCGAAAATCAAATGTGCAAACAATTCTAAGTATAAAGAGCTGGTACAGTTGTGTCACTGGCACAATCAGGAGGAAGACACTATCACCTGCTGCTCAGAGACATTTGGTCAAGATGGTCAAGAATCAACTATGAATAACCCTGAAGTAGGTCTGCAATGAATTCGAAAAGAAGCCCTTCCTCCAGAGGCGTCCCCTTAAGGCTCAACAGAAGTTTGTTGCCGGCTGTTCACAGGGACAAAGAAAAGGGATTCTGGAGGAAAGTTCTGTGATCAGATGAAAAATATTGAGCTATTTGGCCACAATGATCAGAAATATGTTTGGAGGAGAGAAGGTGAGGAGTAACCCCAAGAACACCAAACCTACCGTCAAACATGGTGGTGGCAGTATTATGCTCTGGATCTGTTGTGCTGCCAGTACAACTGGTGTTTTACACAAAGTAAACTGAATACTGTAAAGAGAATTATCTCCATATTCTTCAGTGTGTGTGTGTGTGTGTGTGTGTGTGTGTTTATCAAGATTGTATACACTGATATATCGTACAGGTTGTGGAAATGTTACTGGGTCACAGCAACTGACTGAAATCTCAACACAACTCAAGATTAGAAGTCGAGATAAAGTGCAAAACAGAATACACAAACAAGTGTTTCGGATTTAATTTGTCAGCACAAAAACACTGCCTCATGGTCTCATGGCTTTATGCCTCTGCCAACCAGTGACTGTCCAGATTTTTACAGATTTTTAAGTGTGTGTAAAGAAGCTACAAATTGTAATAAAATAGATGTACAATCACCACAGTTTCAAGGTGGCCACACAAGATCAGCGTCAACAATTGAAATGTGAAATATAGGCACAATCTCTCCCTCTGTTCCTGGGTCATGGCACTGAATATTGGTCAGACAACGTGTGATGAAAAATATCTGAGAAAAGCCACATATAGGCTGCAAATTTACAAATGGATTTAAGTTGCAATTTACAATTGAGCACAATTTATAATAATGTGACATTTTCACCTCGAGTGTCCAAAACCTTGCAGTACCAGTTACATCTGGTGAACTGTTCCACACCCTTCCTCACCTCTTCTCGAGCCTTGCTAAGCTCAGTTTCCAGGATGGACAGACGGGTTTCCAGCTGCTGGACACGGTGGCTGAGCTCTGTGTTTGTCCTGGTCAGCGACGCCTCCTTCAGCCTCAGGGAGCGCACCTGCTGCTGCAGCTCCTCCTCGCGCTGCTCCAACAGCTTCCTGAGATAGAACAGAAGACAAGACGATGGAGGGAGGGTCAAAAATAGCAGGTGACTGGAATTTGGAAAAGAAATCTGCCCCGAACTTGACAATTGTTGATTACTGCTGTACTAATACTACAGAGACCAAGAAGAACTGGGTAGTGTCAGCTGCCGTGCAGTTTGTGTGACCTGGTGATGTGCTCCTCCTGCTGCTGGGCTCTCAGGGCTGACAAGGTGTCAGACAGATCCCTGCTGTCCCTCTCCAGGCGGCTGCTCTCGCCGGCCCGAGCTTCCTCCACACGCAGCTGGTGCTGTGCACTCTTCAGCTGTTGCTGCAGCTCCAACACCTTCAATCACAACAGAGCCACAGGCTTCACTCAGTGAGAAAAACAAACATGAGCACTAGACCTCCCATCCACTTGAAAAGTACCACAGGATTTCTTGAATACGTTCGGTAGAAATAATCTATATTGTTTGCAAATAATGCTGAAAAAGAGTTGTGCCAATTGAAGCAAAGCGAATGTTCTGACATCCCTAAAGACCTAAGAATCACAGCCCTTTGTTTACAAGCTAAAGGGCAACTGCTACTTCTACTTACTGAATATTCAGATAAGGAAGAACTTTTTAAGGCACAAACCCATATTAGGTCACAGAAAGCGAGTCACATTAAGGGCTCACTCAGTAGGCAGGTTTCACTGGTTATTAAACAGACCTCAAACAAGGAAACAGGACTGTCAAGTAACATCACATGGGGCCTTTATCACAAGTTCAGCTTAGTCTAGTTGTTTTTGCATGCACTGGCTTCACTAAACCTAAAATAGGAAACCACAGACAACCAGTATGACAAGCCTGGCTACCAAATAGCCCACTCAACTTTGGGGTTACCAACCTAACTATGTAGAAAAGTTCAGTTTGTAATGACAAGTCAAACCCAGGCTTCAAAGATAAAAACAGAGATTGAGATTTAACAATGGATTAGATAAATATGTTGTTCTCTGTGGAGTAATCAGGTCTTTGCAGTGTCATATCTCAGTCTGTAATATTGTAACACAGAAATGGCAGAACTGATCCAACCATGGGACCACCAGGCCGTGTGGCAGCACTGACCTTCTTGTCAGCAGCAATGAGCCGTGCCCTCTCGGCCTGCAGGTCCTCCTGCAGACTAGTGGTGGCGCTGCGGTTTGTGCAGCTGCGTGCCAGCTCCAGCTCCAATTCCCTGATTTTCTGCTGCTGACGTTCACACTCAGCCACCTGAGTGTGAACTTTCTGCTCCAACTGGACCTGCTTGTTCTGGACCTGCTTCAGTTCTGCACAAAGCTGAAGGAAGCACACAAAGAACAAATCATGAACATAAAAAACAAAGACCATGCTACCAAAAAACAACTATACATGCCTCTCCTGTTGAAGTTTATGTCAGAGTTTCATATTCACTCATAGCTGCTAGCGATCACAGTGAAGCGAGTGACTAAGAATGTGACTCGGATGATGATCAGGTGATAAATGTCAGCATTCAGGAAATTCCCACTGTCACTGTGCTGTAGGGACATATCAACCTTAAGTTTTTCCTGGTCCAGCAGAGTGTTGTGTCGCTTCAGGTCCATGCTCTTCTCCTTCTCATAGCGCAGCTCTCTCTCTGCTGAGGTAAACAGGCTCTGGGCCCTCTGCAGGTCTTGCTTCATCTGTTTAGCTTCCTCTGCCTTCTGGCTGAGCACTGAGTCTTGGGACTGAAGATGGAAACAATAAGTCAGTGTTGGGATGTTTATGCTGAAAGGGAATACAGATTAATACAGGTAGCAGAGTGTTCCCACCCCAGCTATGATTTCTGTTTCTGTTATGAATCATTAGGCCCAGCCAACGTGTCCTCCATAATTTAATGAAGAGTCAATTTCTGTTTAATGAAATGCTGAAACAGGGAGACCAAACCTGGAGCTTTTGCCTATCTCATCAGTATTTAATATGAAAATAAAATAGAAGACGACCATCATAAATTTTATAAGGAACTTAAAGAAAAGGTTTAAGATTTGCCTTTACATTTTTGCGTCTTCAGTCAGATCAGTGAGATTACTTCTTGACAATATCGGATTCTCTATTGCCTAAAGAATAAACGCCTAATGCAGCTGCTGTAACTTCAAAAGCAGATAGAAATAAAAAGCTAATTATGTAATAAACTGAAACCTGAAAATATTGAACGCAAAGGAGACAGTGTTTATTAGATTTTGAAACAAACTGCAGAAGCCACATGGCTCCGTAGACATGGGAGGGTTGTGTTATGATCTTATGTACCTTGACGCGTGCCTGGGCTTCATTGACTTGAGCCTGAAGGGCCATTTGGTGCTGAGAGGCCAGCTGCCGCTCGTCCCCAAGCTTCCTCTGCAGATGATTCAGCTCCTCCTTCAAACACGAAAGCTACGACCACAACACAACACACATGTATGAATCACATATGATCCTAGCAGTGGAAATTCCCTTTCCGCAGCCCTTCATTTACAAGCAGGTTAAAGAAGAGGATCAGTAACAGACAGCTTAAGGAGATTCCCCCTCCTCCGCCTTGTTGCCCCAATTTTTTGAACATCTAAACGGCTCGAAAATAACAGCTACACAGGATGATTTCCCATATGAACCCTTTTTTTGAAATAAATCCAAAGGTACTAGTCAAGTTACCTGACTGAAGCACTCATCCTTGGTCTTCTCCACTGGACTAAGTCTAGATTCTACATGAGCTGTGTGTAGTTCAGGCTTGTGGCTGCTACTAAGTGCTTCCTTCGTGGAGCATAGCTGCTCTTGATGCCACTGGAGCTGCTTTTTGAGGCGCTCTATCTCAAGCTCCAGTCGCTCTCTTTCTCCCTCAGCCGCCAGCTTCTTCTGTACACTGGCGCTTAGCTCGGCCTGGAGGTCAGCAGTCTGCAGCCGCTCTGAAGCCATGTCATCCCTGGAAAACATGCACATACATCAGGGCTCCAGACTAACTTTTTCACTGGTAGCACCAGTGCGACCAACTTTCTCATTTGGTCGCACCTCCCACCTTGTCACAGGCAGAACATATGACTTGCTGAACATTTTCTTATCGATAGACACCAATATTACCGATGTTTCCTAAACGGCCCACACTGCAAGCTGCGGTAGCTGCTGATGGTATGTGTGGTGCACTCAGAAAGGTGTGTGACTAAAATATAACTTTAAAAAGTTTCAACTAGGGTCAGATTTGCCAAAAATGAAACCAAGTGATTTTTTTCTACATGTGCTCTTTTCTATGAGCAGAAAAACAGTGCACGTAGATGTGCTCTGCTTTTCACGAGAAGACCGCATTTTTAAGTGTAAATACCACAGGACAGAGAAGTTAGAAAAGTGCTGCTTTCCACCACTGTGGTTCACACAGTAGCTTCCTGTGCCAAGTACAGCAACACTAATACAGCTTCATGACCATCATTCACGCACACCAATGTGACCAGTTGAAAAAAAAAAAAAGATATAAGTTGCAGCAGTATTACCCCCTCTATCTCAGCACTGATCTATTTCAACCCACATGTCTCGACAATGCTGAACATGAACTGGTATTTTTTTTCCACACAGTGAAATCTGAACTGAAAACCACCTCAGCGTTTTGTGTGCCGTCTCGAGGCTGCCGAGTTCAGCTGTCAGCCGGTCAACCTGTTCCTGCAGCTGGTCGACCTGAAGCCTGTTTTCCCTCAGGTCCTCCTGGGTTTGGTTACTGTCCTTGTGGCGTTCCAGCTCATTCTGGAGTCTGCTGTGGGCACGCTCCATCTGGGCCACCTGGCAGGCAGAGAGTTACAGAAAGAGACAGAAAGATGGTGAGAACCTCATGTTGGCGGTGTAAATGTCAAAATATTGCAAGCTGTAAATTCACACTGACGTATTTATGTTGACATGTAGTCAGATTTATTTTTGATTTGTTGAGACTGAACATACACTGTTTGCATATTACATTTTCCCTGTTTTCATGTGTCATATGCATTCAAGCTGTAAGTGTATTTTAAATAATTTTAAATATTACATTTTTATTTATCCCTAAATATTTTCTGTCATTTCTAACAATTTACCTCTTAAGTGGAAAAAAAACATGACAGATTAATCACGTTTAAAATGATTATCCAAGGTGTCAATGAGAGCAAGCACACATATAAAGAAAACAAACCTTTTCCTCCAGAACTGCTTTTTCCCCTTTAACCTGGGTGAGGCTCTTGATAAGTGTTTTCCCCTGTTGGCATTCTGTCTGAAGGCTGTTGACCTCAAGTCTCAGCTTCTTTAGCTCTTTCTCACCTATCTGCAAAGCCTTTGATGTAGAGAACAGGAGAATAATCTAATTATCGTGTCAAGTGTTACAATAACCACACTTTACTCATTTGTGTAGCTGTGGTGTTGCTGCTTCTTCTTTCAGACAGTCTTACCTCCTTATCTTTTTTGAGGGCAGCCTGAGCAGCGCTGAGGTCCAACTCCAGCTGTTTCCTCCAGTCCTTTTCTTCAGTCAGACGAGCCTCGAGCAGAGCCAGTCTCTCCTGGCTGCTATCCCTTAGGTGCTTCGTACGTGGTGAAAGCAGAGTGCATAACATTCAGAGGTTGCACTGAGCCAAGAATTTTAAGTGCAGTATCTAACCTCTTTGATGTGCCCTAATTAATCTCTGCAGGCTGATTAGGTCTAAACCTCTTACACACATCTAACTTTCTCTATACATATGGGAATCTGGGAGGACAGTAAAGTAAGGATTGAACTGTAAAGCAGACCTAGTTTCATCTCTATAATGTTCTATTTGAGTGCAAATGAGAGTTTTTTGATCAAACTTCAACAGTTTCCGTCCTTGTCTTGGTCATATTTATTTGCCTGTTTGTCCATATAATGCTAAAGCCAAGTAAAACTCATTTTTGTTGCATTTTTAAGCAGTATCACACCTCTTTGTGTTCAAGCTTGTAGTTGAGATCATCACAAGCCATAGTGTTCTTATATTGCCACATTATTGTAAAATGATTACATTGGAAACATTAGTAATAATGAGAAATGAGTCATTTCTTACCAACTGTAGATAAGACTCGGTGGCTTTGACCTCTTCCCCATTCTTCAACATTTTTTCTTGGGCATCCTGTTTCTTTAGCTCTGCCTCCAGGCTTTTGATCTGCATGGCCAGTTCAGATTATTACTCAGCCATAACAGAGATGACTGTTGCCAAGACTAAATTATTCTGTGTGACTCCTTCTATATTAAGGACTGACATTAATAAATAACCATGAAACTAGCTTTCTCCACATCAGATGAATTTTTTCAAAACCAGAATTATTATCAGTGAATAATCAATCCATCCTTTATCCAGTTCAGAAACACTGAGCAATGTTGAACAAGGACTCAGTTCAGCGCTCATTTACCCTCCTGTGCAGTCCTTCCAGTTCTCCCTCATGGCGATGCCTCTCCTCCTTGCTGGCGTTCTGGGCCTCCCCCAGCAGGGCCTCCAGCTCCTCGTTCCTCTCCTCCAGCTCTTCCTGTCCTTTTCGGAGCCTTTGGAGTTGCCGTTGCAGGTCCCGCACCTGCACAAGCCCATCTTCCACCGCCTCCTGACACCTAACAGACAATAATGGGGATTACAATAAGACAGAGCAGTTGGGGTATTTTTGAAATCAACATAAATGTGTCACCCTGTTATCAATGGTGTAGTTCTTGGAGAATTCATGTACAGACCGTTTGTGAATGTGATCCTTTTCTTGAGTTGACAAGGCAGACAGATTGCTTTGTGGTTCGACGCTAATGTCCTTTTGATTCTCTCTGGCCGCATCATTTACTGTCAGCTAAACAAACACAACACAAAACACGGCTAAGGTAATGCAAACAACGTTTGTGAATTTTTATTTTGATAAATATATTCAGTAAATGCTGACCTGGTCTCTGAGATTTTTCTTCTCAGACTCTATAATGCGCACTCTCTCCCTCAGAGCTCTGTTCTCAGCGTCTAGTTTGTCGTTTTGCTCTTTGGCTCGCTGCAACTTCATCATATCTATGGAGAGACAACACCAATGACAATGAGATCTCAAAAAAAATGCACTGACATGAAAATCTGTATCTCTGGGTTGCTTTGCCTTTTCAAATCTAAAATAAAGTTTTACAAACATACCATATTTAATAATTATACCTATAGAGCACTGTGACTGTTGATGGCAGGTGGCTAATTAGTGAAAGTAAGAAACGCAAGTGTGAAATTGACACATTTAGCTCTTAATGTAAATCACATGAAGCCTAACTTATAGGACTATTTGTTAGATCTACTTCACATCAGTCACTTTGTATATCCATCCGATTATGCAACATATTTCATGTTTACTGGACAATTTTATTGCCAAACCACAGCTAAGTGTGACAGCCAACTGCTCTATGATTTGACTGAATCCTCCAAGACAAAAACAAAACAAAGATTCAGTCAAAACTCTATCAGTAAGGGGAAATACTCCTCTCACCAAGATGGCGAGACATTTTGTTTCAGCCTCATAGGATGAACTATTTTCAAAGTGCAAATGCAAAGGGACGTGTAAAAGTAACAGTAGGCAAATTAACTTCCTCGTCAGCAAGCATTTCTCGAGCAGTAACATTTGATAGAAATCAGTTAAATCTAAAAGAATAATAAAAAGATCAACCATCATCTGTTTTTGAACATCACTTAATTTGAGTATAAATAATCTAAATACAAGCAAAAGTCAATAAGCACAAGCTACATCAATAACATAACAAAAGTATCCACCCCTACTTCTTCCAAAACATTCCCACCAATTCCTAGCCCACAGGAATGTTATAATGGTAAGACAAAATTGACAACACTCTGTCTCACCACAGTGTTTCAGTTTGTCCACTTCCTTCCTCAGGTTCTCTACTTCTTGGACAGTTCCCTGAAGCTCAGATCCTGAGATTATAAGCATATCTTTTATTTCATAAAGCAGAAATGTGCATTCTGCTAATTCTTTCCCTTTAAACATTTTTAAACGCTGTTAAACATTTCCTGTAGTTGGCTTTACTAGCACAGTTTCCCCTCCAAAACACACCTATTAGTAAGTTAAGTGAAAAGTAAAGTATATTAAGCACATCCTTGACCTGACAATGAGTAACAAGTAACTTGCATTTTAGCTATTCTCTATATTAAAACATTTTAAAAGGTTGGAGGCAACAAGCTGGGCAGTCAGTAGGCCTGGGCTGCATGTAGGAAATATACTGTATATATATGGTATACACATAATTAATTGATGGACGCATAGTTTAGGTCTTTGCAACATACCACTTGGGTCAATGTTGTTGTTTTTGGCAGCATCCAGCTCATTGGTGAGTCTGCGGATATCCTGATGAGCCATCGCCAGCCTCCGAGACGCCTCTTCCAGGTCCCGTTCCAGCCGCTGGCGCTCATTTCGCTCTTGGGAGATCTCCTCACTGTGGGCCTGATGTAAAAGAATAAAACACAGACGGTTAGACAGGGAAAGCAGGGACTGAAGATGCAAGTGATCCAACATGCCGTTGTAAGGGACATGCATTTTGAGGCCGACATTCATCATCACTGAGGCCGCAAAGAAGCAGAGAGGAGGAGTTATAAACATACATCTCAGCATTCACCTGCATCGAGAGACCCGGGGAAAAGAAAAAAAAAAAAAAGAGTATACAAGTTGTTACCTGCCCATTTTCAATAAATTCATTTTTTAAACATCTGTTACGTATGTGTGTGTGTTAGCAGAAACAGGCAGAAAATGATTGAGGTAAGGACATGCAACAAAGACACAACCATCTGGGAGTCAACCTGCACATCGCATTGCAGTTATGTGGTATGGACCTTAACCATAGGTCTACTGGGACACCCCTAGAAAATTAAATCCACAAATGTGTTCCTGAAACAAGCAATACTCTCTGTGTCATAGCAGTCATGCGAGTATTAAAGCACATCGTCAGTGTGAAAAGCATTTCAAAGAGCAGTACCCGTCTGAAACAAGCCAGTGATGACGTGGTTTCGTTCTTTTTCACAATACCAGTGTTAGTTATTTAGTTAGTATAGGCTGTAAATAGGAAACCTACAGGGGTGATATTGTGTTTGCTCTGACCAGACCTGCGCAGGCCAAACAGCTTCTTCCATGGACTCTGGGATGAACACTGCTGAGAGGAAAAACCAGTGTGTGCAGAGTCACTATGTAACTATCAATCTGTATTTCTGTACACTGACTGGAGACTTGTTTTGTTCTTTTTCCTCCAAACTTAACTCAACCTAGGAAGTTATTCAGACCTGTAACTTATCCAGGCAGGGCAAATGAAGTGTCGTCTCACCTTCGACATGTTTTCTATGGTCTTCTGCACATCCTCCCTCTGCTGCCGTAGGTCCTGCCCCATCATGTCACGAATATGCTCCTGACCAAGTGTCACAGAGAGATACGGATTCACCACATTTATATGGTGTCTGTATGTGCCTTGGCTAGTTAACCATTACATTTCACTACAACTACAAAGCTTGTTGACAAGATCATTTGAAATTTCAATATGACAGAAGACTGTAAATGAACTGTTACATTTACATTTCAATAAACAATCTCAGCTGTCAAACCTTTACAAAATAGTAGTTGTATTGTTCTTGCTTTCTAAAGAACTGACATTCAGAGAAAATTCAAAAGTCCTCTGATGCATGTAGATCAGGAACATACCTGGTGGTGAACCTCCTTGAAGTTTCCACTGAGACTCTGACTTTCCAGCCTCCTCTCAGCAGCTTCCAGCCTTTCCAGCAGTGTGGCCCTTTCCACCAGTAAGTATGCCACCTGCTCACTAGGGCTGCTCAGGCCCATCTCCCCGAGATCCTCCTGAGCCAACATCTCTGCTAGCTCCTTGCTCTGGTTCTCTAGAAGAAAGGGGGGATTGACTCTGATCAATTATTTGTCTGGCAAAGCTATGAAAGAACTTTTAAGAAAAGATAAAGCTGCTGGAACATTTATGGAAAATAAAAAGTGGGTTAGGGTTAACCAAACTTCGGTGTATTTGAAATATCTTACTCAGGAGCTCTGATGAGGCAGGCTAGACTGTACCCCAAAGGAAAGAGGGCTAAGACTGAACCACAGTTACACAGTATTCACCTTGTTGGTGTCTGATCTGGTGAAGCTCATGTCGCAAGTGTTCATTGTCTCGTTCATAGTCTGCAGTCAGACACTCACGCTCTTCTAACAGCCCACGAATATGTGCAACATAGCTCTCCACCTGACAAGACAAAAAAAAATAAAATAAAAAAAATCCTCAAGTAAAAATTGTTACTGACATACAATTTTGAGAAACTGGCATCATCGTGCACACAGGTGTGTGACAAGACAAGTGTGTGATTTCAGTCAGACATGAGTCATTGGCTACAGCTGTTTAAAGAGTCTATATGGTTGCATCATACGAAAGAAAATGAGGCACTATTAGACTGGATGTTTAGGAACTGAACTATACACAATTAGGTCAGTCTATGACACTGTTGCAATAGCTGGTTAACTTAAAACACCAAAAAGTATCTCACTTCCTTCATCTCATTGGCCTGCTGCAAACGTAGGGTCTGCAGCTCCTGGGTGGCTGACTGAAGCTTTCCTTCGCTGTTGAGCAGCTGCTGCCACAGGTGGCGCTGCCTCTCCTCCGCGCTGGCCCCTGGAGGCAAACCATCCTCCTGAAGCCGCATGGAAATCTGGTCCAACTCCGTCCACACCTGAAGATCCAGAGGAGGGACTGAATGCTTTGTGACCAGATGCAATAGTTGTCAGTATAGTGTTAAAACGTTATGTTAAGTTCCAGCTTGGAAGTGAAATACCTCTTTGTGTATGAGGAGCCTCATTATGTCATATCTTTGCATACAACAACACAATGTACATTCAACTCATTTAGTGTCATTCAGCTAAAATTTGAAATGCTCCTATTCTCCTTATACACAGATTTTTAACACATGGGACATACTACAGCACTACAAATTTCATTTACTTGTGGATTACTTCGTGTTGCAAAATTAATCCTATTTTATCGATATGGTACGATAGCAAGCTATCCTGCTAATTAACTACAACACTAACAAAAAAGATCAACATCAAAGTTGTCAGTCTTACTGAAAACTGATCAGTATGAACGACAGACACATTGTATGGGGACACAGCATCAGCGTGGCGAGCCAGCACTAAACACCTGTTGCAGAATTCAATACTGTACTTTGTACAGCTTGTAACCTGAGCAGCACCCATGTAGCCTTTAGACGAGGAGCTGTCACTGCTCCAACAACATGCAGCATATTGTCAGAGGCTCGGCAACAGGTCTCATGTGTCCTTTCTACTCAAACATCACACCACTTGGTCCAAGGTCTTGTGGAATGAATGGCTAAAAGATCAGACAATTACTTCAACCACCATCCTGGTGCTGGTGTATTTAGGCTATCAGTGCAGGATGCATTCACTCCAGCAACCACTGTGGCATGCAGATCATTAATTTCATGATAACTTACATTTGTTACGCCGATGACATTAAAATTAACAACAGATACTGCAGACAGTGAACAAAAACCCTCTGGGAATAACAAATGTAATGTATGAGCAATGAATATTACCTCTTTGTGATCCATTGTCGTACATTAAGTTTGGCAAAGGTGCATCTGTGAGTTACTCTTCAGTAGTGAAAATGCTGATCCCAAACAGCAGGTCTGCCTACATGGTATCCTACGGAACACAAGTCAGTTGGTAACGATGCACTACAGATCAGCAGATCCTCAAACGTCATCTCTCTCATTGTTGTTGTAGAATCCATCCATGACAACGTCTCCTGTCCTTGAGTTTCGCTGTAAAAGAAAAGATGCTTTAGAACAATGCTGTCAAGTCATGTTTGGACCTGCAGTGTCAAACCTGGAGATTATACCAGCTACCTCAGCCAGGACGGGCTAGGGCAGTTTAACAGCTGAAGTACATTGCATTACCTCAGGCTATGCAAAACTTCAAGCTGATTAGCTGGGTTTGAACTGCTGCTTTGTAATCATGAAGATTTAAATATAAGCAGTAAAGGATAACAGCTATGCCTTTCTCAGACTCCTGTCCTGCAGATGGGAGCATTGCATTCAGCAAAAACTATGCAAACTAAAAAAAAAAATTACACTAATTTCTTTCAATGCAGACTGTGCCACAAGCTTTCTTTCCTGCAAGTGATGACTTTCACTGAACTGAAAATCAGTTTTCCTCGGAACGTTTGTTTCCAAAATGTCTGACGAGGAGGAGCAAACGAGGGTTTTTGTAGGACAACAGCCACTTGCATTCCTTTTGGCCAAGCTGCCCCTTCAGACAGCTGCAATATTCACAGTTTCGCTGAGCACGCTGTGTTTGCAAGCTAGTAAATAGCCCACACTGACAGACGCGACTACCCTCAGCGCTAGCTAGTTAGCAAAGTTAGCTTCAAAGTTAAGGTAGCATACTTTACGTTGAGCTAACGCTAGCTTGCTAACGGTAGCCATAGCCTTTTTCCAGTGGCCGCTTGGCAGCAACTGGTGCACCTAATAAAGATGTCGCTGTCATATCTGAAGACTTCTGCTTAACTTCTCCGAGTTGGCGAAGCTCAGCATCCACTGCACAGGTAAAGTTTTACTCACCTTTAAAAGGGTAACAGCGACAAGAATGCCAAGTGCAGAGGACAGGCGTGGCGGAGTGAATTGGCTTCTACTGGCGCCTAGGCAACGGACCGTACCATTCAAGAGATGCAGGGGACAATCGATCACGACCAACCAACTGGTGGTTTATATATATAATTTTAAATGTGTGTATATTCATATATTTATATACCAATTAAAAATAATTGTTGTAAACGGTAGCCATTTTAAACGAGTAATAACGACAAACGATCGAATTGGGGTAGTTGGGATCCGGAGTTTAACCTAAAATACAATTTCTGGTAAAACGGCTTTAAAAATGGCAAACCAGGAAAATTGATCATCTGTATCGATGAATTCGATTCTTATCAAGGTTTATTCATTGTTCTTAGTGGCAGTTAATTTTTAAGGAGAAAAAAACACATTTTAGGTTCTTACAAAACACATTTTTTCTGTCAAATAATTTAAATTAAATTACAATGTGTAAAAAAAACAGACTTTTGATGTGGACATTCTTTATAGATTTTGGACGTTTTTTTTTATATGATCACCATGTAAAACGTTATTTTTCTATCAAATAATCTAAAATAAGTGTAAAACAAATTGTGTAATTTTACAGTCGAACACAATAAAAGAAGAAATCACGATTTGTAAAAATAATAATAATAATACAGACTCTTGATGTGGACATTCTTTACAGTTTTAGAATGTTTTAATATTATTAACACGTTAAAAAAAAAAATCTGGGATTTTACTAGTTATTATCTGCAATTTAACAAAACTAGATCTTGTGGTGAAATAACAGTTTAATAAACTATGTGCCTTCTTTCAGTCCTGACATATTTTCCATATTATCTGTAAAACAATGTTATTTTTGCTGATTTAAAAATAGTTTAAAAAGATATTTTGATTAAGCTTTTCCAGTTAGTCCATGGATGTTGTCAACACCAGAGGGCGACAAACTAAAATTGCTTATCCCTTCTTCCTCCCATAGACAGGCCTCATACAAATTTAAACACATAATATACTACAATAAATTGTTTATGTCTATAACTAAAATAATGGAGATACTTTCTCAAGTATTTTAAACATGTAGTTGTAAGTACATAGTTGGTGCTTTCAAATTTTGTGCATTCATTCTATGTTTTGTTGGTTTTTCCACTGAGCCTACTATCCAATTATGCAAGTTTGGAAAGAGAGTCTGTATATGTTCTATTTGTGACCAGTACACCCTCAATACTCATTATGCTCTGGTGCAGAAAAGTGAACTATGTTATAGCTTCGCGTTTATTTTGCTTGTCTGCCCTGACTTGAACGAATGGCAACATGCTTATGATACCAGAGAGCGCTCCGAGTGGACTGTTTACAGAAGAAATCTTTTCATGTGGTTTTAATGTGCCTGCGCTGCCTTATGGGTGGGGCCCTTATGAGACTTTCTTGGACGGTGATGCACTGACTGAGGCTGAGCAAAAGGGAGCTCTGTTCTGCACAGAGGAAATGGGCGTATTCCTTGGAAACTTTGGAGAGAGTGAATGAAAAAATAAAGGAGGTGTGGCAAAGCTAGAAAAGAGTGGACCACCAAGAGGGGCACGATGTTGTAGAGGGCTGGAACCGCTCGTAAGCTGCTGAGATCTGTTTCAGGGGAACAAGCAATATCCTGAGTAAGTAGATTTTTCTTGGACTTTTTAGGCATTTTAAGTGAATATCTTGTTACATCATGACTCTAGCTGATTCATTTTGAGACTTAGAGGCATCACATGTATAAGCTCAAAAAGTAATGCTCCAAAAGTGTGTGATCAAAGTTGGTGGGATGTGTATCTCACTTAGTTTAAACAACCATGGAAAAGAAAAAATGTTCTATATTGTGTTTTTCCTATATATGTATTTTATTTCATTCTATATGTCAAAATGATGATTTTCACTGAAGTTTGATCCTTTCATTTTCACTTAAGTGCATGAAATCTAGTGTAATGGACAGTAATTGTTACTCCACCGCCCACCCAAATGGACCTCTCTTACAGATAGAGATCTTCACAGGCAATTTCATTCAGTTTCTTATTTACTTGCATGTCGTCTGTCTTCTGTCTAACTGGATTGCGTCCTTATTTGAACTGAAAACACAATGCTACTGCTGTAATGGCCTACAATGTCAGATATCGTTGTCAAATAACAGGCTTTGCCTCAGACGTTAATTTCCTCTCAGTAAGGCAACTTGAATGAAATCCAAATCTAAGTTAAATTACAGACTGTTAACCCTTCACACTGGGGAAAAAACAAGCATTTAGAAGGGCAGAGAGGTTAATTGGGTAAATATTTTGCCACTATTTAGATTTCAGCGGGTCCACCCAACCCAGACTTGTTGCTGTACGATGGCAACACACAGGCCAGTCAAAGAGAAGTTTTAGAAATAACTCGTTGCACTCTGTTCTGAAGCGTGGTCTTATGTAACACAGAGTATACTCTGTTCAGCTCCTCAGATTTTCCATTTTATGTTTCAAGGCAAAACAGGAAAGTTACCCAACACTGATCTTTTTACTGTGGAACCGACAAACACGTTAAATTGGTCTCACACCGTTCCCGTGCTAACTGCTATGTTGAATGAAGTTGTGCAGGATTCCTAAATATAAACTTTGTTTGTTTTTGGCAGGGACCTGAAAATGGCATACCTGCTCATGTTTGTCACCCTGCTGCATCTCATCACACTGGCTATGCTGTTTATTGCGACCATGGAGAAGGTAACAGGACACAATGTTTGTTCACTTTAACTGTATTATTGCAGGAGTTTACCAACTGTATGCATCATGTCTAATCTCCTTTTACAGTCCTGGTGGGTGTGGGACGGCATGGAAAACTCAGACTTATGGTACAACTGTAGGTTTGACAACTCCACAGGAACCTGGTTGTGTGCATCCTCCAAAGAAACTGGTGAGCAAAAATTTGCTCACTTTGTATGCCTCTTTCAGATGGGTTTTACTAAAAGAATACCCACCCAAAGGTCAAATCTACGAATTATGAGTAGCTTTTAAATGTGATTTTCTTTCTCAGAGTGGCTTCAGGCCGTGCAGGTGCTGATGGTGCTCTCAGTGGTCTTCTCCTCAGTTTCCTTCTTGGTGTTCCTCGGTCAGCTCTTCACAATGTCTAAGGGTGGACTCTTCTATTTCACTGGACTGTGTCAAGTCTTTGCAGGTAACAGAGCAGTGAAACAATGTGCCATCGACATGCCTCTGTGTGATTAATCTATTGGAAATGGATGACACAGGGAAGCACACGGCTGCCAAATAAACTGAATGTTTTAGAGACTGAACCCTCCACACTTGAACTCTATTTCTGAACTAACATACCATTTCTTGCAGGGTTATTTATGCACTAATATGACTTGATGATTTTGTACTCGAAGCAACCAAAACCAACCTTTAATCACTGGTTTAGTCTTTAAAGACAGTGGCTGTATCTTTCATTTACTTTTAGTTATACCTGAATTGGTGTATAATTTTCTAATAAGGTGGATTAGATAGACACCTGGTGATCTCAAATGTGCCTTTTGTGTCAAATCTGCAATCAAAGAGACACAGAATTTGTAGATTTTTCTTGTATACAGGTCCCAACAAAATAGTAATGTCTTAAGATGGGTTTGTGTTGTTTTTGGCCACACCTCTCTATGTGTTGTTGTTGCTATATTGTCTATAACATACAAAATAAATCAAGTTAAAAACATTGCAAACCTTTTTTTCTTTTATTACCCTGCTCCTCAAACAAACACCACATGTGTTTTTTATTTCAGGACTGACCGCCTTTTGTGCAGCTCTCATCTACACATTGCGCAACAAGGACATCCTTCCAGACTCCAAAGAACTTACTTCAGGACAGTTTGGCTACTGCTTCATCCTGGCCTGGGTGTGTGTCCCCTTGTTGCTGTGCAGTGGGATCATATACATCCACCTGCGTAAGAAAGAGTGACCAGAAAAACAGGGGGAAAAATGACGTCACCACCAGTATTGGAAAGAAAATGATTAAATTAACTTGTTTTTGAGAACTGTTTATTTCACAGGAGTCACAGATGCCTATCTTATGACGTGTATGCTCAGGCTTCATCTGATGTGATTATGTGAGGTATTTTTTTATTTGTGTATTCTGGAAAAAAAATATTAGGATGTCACAGGGAATTGGTCCAATATGTAACGCTCACCTTTTGCTTTAGGACATTTTTTTTTACTTGTTTTGTTGTCCACTTGTGCCATGTGTTGACTAAGTAAGGCAAATACCAAAGCAGTGATAGGATATGTATTGTTTATTAGTGATGTTGGCTCTATAAATTGCTTTTTTCCCCCCTTACAGCTAACTGGAAATGTATATTTTTGTACCTAATGCTGATGTACAATATTTTTAGCAGCAGCCCTGAATAAATATCACACAAAAACAAATAGCTTGAAGTCCTTGATTTAATCCACGTTTTCATGTTGCCTTTAAAAACAGGAAGACAAACTGCTGAGGTTGTTGCCATAGCGACCGCAAACTTAATGTTGCTGCTAGCTCAGCAAGCTAATGTCATCTCGGAGTAAACACGGAGTTTTAGCCGTGTGAAGCGGACTTTTCAGTGCTAATGGAAGCTTTACCTCAAGTTTCGGGTACAATAATTCCTCTCGCCTCACCCAGGGGAACGGAAAAGCAGTGTGAACTTTGTCAAAGAGTCGCACGACTGCAGTGTGCGGGTCACTTTTTTACTGGTAAGCTTTCACCGTTGGCTGTTCTGTTGTGAGACATGCTAATAGGCAGTTATTAGCATGTTAGCAGTTTATTTGGAGAAAGCATGAATTCTAAAATGCCACAAGTTGTGTTTTTTTTTGTGGAAACGTTTGGTCAAATCACGGTTAGGACGCTAGGTGGCAGCGTCCGCCATGTTGTTTTTTTTCCCCCCCACAAAAAAAAAAAAAAATCACACAACGCCTCGGTATGAAGGGCGTATGTGTAAAGAGGAGGGAGAAGAACAGCTGGAAATTACATTACCACAGCGGTTATTTTTGTTCATGAGACTGTTGCCTGCGTCTTTTTTTTTTTTTTTTTCCATAATATGATTTGGTCAATATTAGCCTTATATGTTATCTTTGGCGTCGGTGGATATTCACTCCGCAGGCTCAGACCATAAGATGGTGCTGAGTGAAATCCTTGTTGGCACTGAGTGGAGAGTGGAGGAGCATGTGGTGACATCCTTCCCTGTAGGGATTTATGGAAAGGGATGAGCCACTAAAGCCAGTCTCAGGGAGCTTACAGCCACTTATTGTGCCTGCTTTCTTCTTAGCCTTTAAAATGAATGAATGAGAAGCACATGTTTTGAATTTGGTGGAAATTTGTACACATCATAACAGCTATATCTCAAAACAAGGTGTACAAGGGAGAAAACAAGTTCTATTCAAAACTGAAGTAAATTCATTACATTATGCCCAGCTATGGATTGAGTTAGTTGTAGTTCTTTGTTAGAGAAACATATTAGATTCAATTCTGTGGCTCCGAGTAAGATTCTGAAGTCATCACATTGTTAGGGGTGAAAAGATTTAGTGGAGACCAAATGAGCCATAACATCTTATTTGGCTAACTAGTATGCAGACTCATGTTTGTGGTGACTGTTGAGGCAGATTGATAAGTATTTTGCAGACAAAGCTCTGTAGAGACACGGGCGTCTGTGCTGAGAAGACCACTTGATTTATGTTTATGTGTGCACTTTTCTTTGTGCGTCTGCACGCGCACGTGCACAAGCTGGTTCAGTGCTACTGTTGATGTGACGTGGCCAGATTTCTGCCTGCTCACTGCCTCTGTCTCAAGTCCATGAACACAAATACTCCAGGGTGAACTCACATGCTCCGCAGCAAGAAAAACGCACGGAAAACCGAGACAGTTTCCACAGAAGTGTGCAGGAGAGGATCCAGATGAACAAAATTACAGGCCAGTTATGTAATGGCGTACAATTTAGTATGCCCTCTGTGCACTCAGATGGTATCTGCTAAATGGGACAGAGACTTTGCTGTGGAAAACAATTCACATCAACTGATTAAAATGTTTTACTGTTGATGATGCTCATTTCTGTATCGGTCTACCACTGTGAAGTCAGTGCGATCCATAAGGTTAAATCATTCTCACCAAGTTGCAGCTCAGTGGTTCAGATCAAACAGCATTTGTTTTTTTTTTTATCAAATGCTTGACTGCTGAGAAAACATCAGTGCCATTCTGCAAATAGGGCGTACTCTTATGTATAAAAAGATAAGTCTCACACAAAGCTATGAGGACTCCTGGGAGCTCAGGTGGCTGGGGGGCACCCATCCAGTTTTTTAATTCCTCAGTGATGCAGCTCACCAACAGGCTGACTGGGTGGGGATTCACAAGAAAATTTGTCATCTGCTTGTGCCCATCTGCACCCAGACATTCCGAGGTCTCCAGATGGCTGGGGGGGCACCTATCCTGTTTTTTTATTCCTCAGGGATGCAGCGCACCAACAGGCTGACTGGGTGGGGATCCACAAGAGAATTTGTCAGCTGCTTGTTCCCATTCGCACCCAGACATTCCTAAGTCTCTCCTTATCATAAAGGCGGCAGATGGACCACTGGGTTAAAGTTTTATTGGACGAGGAAGACAAAGACAGAAGTCATTTAATTTCAGTACTCACTTTTGCACAATCAATTATACTATTTGAGTCTTTCTCACCTTTTATTTGAAGAGGAGTTTGTTTTGTGCCACTGACACAAGTGCATGAACCTCACAAAAGCAAGTTTTTTATGTTGCTATATAATAAATTCCACAGAGAAACAGCTAAAACTGTTACTTTATGTCCAATGGTTGAAAATAAGGAGTTTTCAGTAAAACATTAAATCTTTATTTCTTCTGGGAGTTTTGTCACAGTGGACGTTGTTAATTTTGGTCCCTCATCTGGGCACATACTGTTTCCATATCCAGCTCTGCTGTCAGTGATTGATGTTTAGATAATACCGCAGTGATATAAAAGTTAAGACTGAATATTTAAGTGGATTTCCATGAATTGTTATAGTGTAATATGCCTGAGGAATTTGTGTGTCGTAAAAGTAACCTGGTGTGTATCTTGGGTTTGGCTCCTTACCTAGGCAGAGCTGATTGAGATTTGCAGGTTGGTGCCTGCGCTGCTCCGTAGATGTTTATGGCCCCAACACTGTCCAGCTGAGGCCAACATGGGTCAGAAACATGCACAAAATGGTTTGTCAGCTCTACTTTTCTATTCCTATATGTGATGTTTGTGTGCACATGTGTATATTTTTGTTTGCTTGTACTTTCAATTTGAAGCTTAGGAAATCTAACCCTCGTGGCAGAGCTGCTGTCCCAGGCAGAGTGGTCAGTGTTGAAGAGCCCAGACTGTGGTCACGCAGTCCACCACCGCCTGCACAGGAGCCTGGGCCGCCTCCACATGGCGACTGGAAACCTGGAACAAGCTCTGCTTCACTTTGCAAATGATGTCTGTGTCATGATTAGCACACTCGTCGGAAATAACTTCTGCACATGATTTTTTTTTTTTTTTAACTGTTTCATAACACTATTGATACTGTCCGAAGCAGGAACTTTTTGCTCACCGTCAGAGTTTGTTCAGTGGTTGAAAACATTTGTTGAGTAAGATTAACTGTGCGTGCCGTACATTGTTGAATGTACATTAGTTTGGTCTTTTTGTGTTATGTTTCCAGATATATTTTGCCAGTGAGGAGTATAGTTTGGACAGCATCGTCACGTGTGGTGGCTACTTTCTCATGGCTGATGCATTTGTAGAGCAGGGGAAGATGCCCATTGCTCGTTCCGTGTATTCTGAGGTATACCACTTGTGGTGCTAAAATGTTGTGATGTTACTGCCCATATGACTGAATCTGTTTCATGGATTAACTTATAGATTATGTTCTTCTGCTCACATTGTAGGTGGCACAGACTTGGCACCTCCATCCGACCAACATCCTCAAGACCCGCATCCCAAGTGCCCAAAATCCTAACATGTTGTTGGACTCCTCCTGTGGTGCGTCTTGTCAAATTTGCGTTGTGTAAATGTAAGATAAAATAATATAAAACCAAATGTTTACGTTTTGCCAGGCTATCCAATTAACGCTGCAGATTAAGAAAATGACGTCACCAGTTCATCATGATCCAAACTCTACACAGCCAAGAGAGCTCCATTGGCGTATCACTAAAAAAATAAGGTCAACGGGGCTATATTTAGCTGAGCTGTCTTGCTGTGCAATCCGAAAGCTAAACCCCAGATTTACACTAGCATGCTTAGGGCTGACTAGAGACCACTGCTGACACATCTCTGGCTGTACGGTATCCGCACCACTGCCCTCTATATCACAGCTGCTGCCCTACATATAATGCTAAGCCTGTTAGCTGCAATGCAATTTCCCAGGCTTTCTGGGGATGTTTACCGGCGGAAAGTGGGAGGCAGAAAGGAAGGATGCTTACGTAAACTAAACAGAAGATAAAGACAGACCTACATTTTACTAACCTCAATTTAATGCATACAAATCTTTTTTTCCCCCCAATATTAAAGTGTATAGTGTATATAAAGTCATGGTAAAATTCAGTAAAAAGTAAAGTAGGTGTGTCTCTTTGTTTGTTTCCAAGACTACCAATCAGACAAAGCACAGCTAGTTAAAGTGGATGAGATGTTAAGAACCATGTTGGAGTTTGAGCAGAAAGACCCTGCTCAGATTGCACGTGTGGCCCACTGCCTGGCCATGCTTTGGTTTCTGGCAGGAGACTCACGGAAGGTAAATCACCTGATGATGTTAGGCATTAAGGGTTAGTTTGACACGGTGGCACAGTTCCCCATTTCCTCCCTGTGCCGTCTCAAGATAGGATTATCTCTAATTGGCGAAGCCGTAAAGATAAGGTGGAGAATTAGCGGCAGTTGACGAGACTGTCTCGACACTCTTGACTTCCACCTTGGTTTCCCGTCTCTGCACAAAGCTTTTTGGGTGGAGGCTGTTTGTGTGTCAGCTGTAATTCTTTAGATGTGATGTGAATCAGCAGATCTCTGGTGAGCAGTCATACCAACTGAGCGAATAAGGCCACAGTGGCGTAGTGAATGTACCAGTGACCGCATAAGAAGTTACGTACCAGACACATCCTCATTGTCAGAGTCTTTAAGTGCAGTGGGTCTTGGGTAAGAAGGAGGGTAAAGGTTGGGTGAGTTTTTATGGCTAAACTCAAGCAGACAAACACAAGTAGACAGAATCACACTCAGTTACATGAATACAAGACTAGAATTCACTGATGTGTTGATTTTTTTCACGTTTATCTGATTTTTTAATCTATTTTTGTCAGGACTCGCTATGCCATAATGGTGTTCTAATTAGCTACCCTGAAGCTTCCTCATTCTTCATATGATTGAAAAGCAGTTTTGATCTTCTTTGTGGAATTCAGTTCTTGCTTATGCGCCCTCCGTGCAGTGTAGAATCTGCTGTAACAGATTCCTTGGGGAAAGAGGAACACTTTGTCTTCTAAAACACACTTCTGCTGGGTGGATGCTTCTTGGCATGGAAATGCTCTGGTGCCCTGGTTGAAGGATGATTTTCTCAGACTCGCTCCTATCCGGCCAAACATCTTCTATTGAGTCTCTTTTTCCTTGTATTCAATAAAGTACAAAGTGAAAGAAAATGACTAGGCGGGGAGTTTTAATGATGGTGGTGTGTAATGGTAATTTTGGTTTTAGTTTGACTTATGCTCTCTGTTTTTGTAAATGTCACGGTTCTCTTGTGGGTGTGTGTGTGTGTTACACCATGCTTAGAAGAGTACATCATTGTAAGAGCATACAGTTGTGATTGGGGCGCCTTGTTATTTCCAAGGAACCATTAATAAATTCCAACACCTTGTTCCTGTGATTAATGGTGTTGTTGGCTCAGTGTATCAGCTTTGAATAGAAAGAGAGATGAGTGGATGTAACATTAAACGCACGCTAAAGTAACACATACGCAATATTTCTGGCTGTTTACAAACCCTAAGAAGCTACAGGAATTTCATGAATTTCCCTGCAAACCTCAATAAATTCCTCACTGAGCTTGTCGTGTTTCCATCTAAGCATGCGTGGATTTGTCAACAGTATCAACTTCTGTTTCCACATTTCCTCTCAGTTATAAGCTATAAAGGCCAGTGTAACGGCCCAAAGGATCAGGTTATCGGAAGGGTAAAGCGGGGTGTATTAAGTCAACCAGGTTGCTGTCCAATTTCAGTGATATCGTTATATAAGTCAGCTTTATTCTCCCCACAGAGTCTAACAGCTGCAGTTGCTGTGTTTGTTTCTGTTTGTGTGCCAGGCACTGGGATTTGGCAGCACAGCCTTGCAGGCCAGCCAGCTGATACCAAACCATGACCTGACGGAGCCCATCCAGAGCCTGCTGCAGCTGGTGCAGAGTTTGCAGACAGACTCGCATCCTGGTTCTGACTAGTCACAGTACTTCCCTCTGCTTGAAGATCATCAGGACATCTGTTTCACCCCCCCATGTGAATATAGAAACGACGTAACTACTAACAAATGCAAAGTTAAGTAAAGAGCTTATGATGTGATTTAGGATTCATGCAGATGTTGTGAAGTGTTATTCTAAGTAGATAATGAGAAATGAACATAAACAGAAAATGACATTTGTGCTGGTATTGAAATGTGTAGGTGCAGTTAAAGGAGGACGAGACATGTTTTCACTGGTTTTGAATAATGACTCATCTTTATTTTAATCTAAAAAAAGAGGGATATATATTTACATCATTTTGAACACTTGTGGATTACAAGATTTTGGGATCCATTTTTGTAACACTGTCAGAATGATACAGAACAGAATAATGGTCAAGGGCATTTCCTAAAACCTTTTCGATGCAATGTTTTTGCTCATTTCGTACCCAGCAAATCCAGAGCCTCTTAATCAATTCACCGTATGCAGATATAATTATGTCTATACGTCATCAACACAGTCGCATTATTATTTCACTGAAGCAAAAACATTGCATCTTCCTCCTGCAAATAAAAGAATATTGTAAACCTTTAAGCAAGCCTCAAGTCCATTTTAAATCGAGACATAAAATGAACTCGGCGGCTGCTGTGAAATCTTACATATTATATACAAATCTGAAACATTTACTCTTTATATCAAAACAATCATTTTTAAAATCATCTCACTACTAGTGTTATTTGTACTGAATTATACAACGAAATGTTTGTTTTTTTTGGCATTCAGATTCATTTTTATGTGTGGAGAGGCAGCAAAACATGGAAACACTTGGATTTTTCTCATATTCCCTTTTTTTTACTTTTTTGAACCAAATATACATTAGCAGCAGTTTGGAATTAAATAGTAACCTTGTGCTCTGTTGTTGTTGTACACAGTGACTCGTCCAGAGGTCCCTAACATGTTTGTTCCAGGCTGGCCAAGCGCCACACAGGCTAGTAATTAGATTTTTTTCCTTTCTTCTTTACCCCTTGTCACTAGCATGTGGTACCCCTGTTTCTTTCAGTAGCCTCCATGCCTTGATTCAGAAAGAAATCTCTCTGAACTGGGACCTTAACTCAGCTGTGATGCTCAAATCAATGCTCCCAAAACAAACCAGACAGTGAAAAGGCATTTTGAAAGTTAATAGGGCACTGTTACGTGAACCTTCAATGGCTAGACGGTGCTCTGACGGCAAATGGATGATGTATAAACTACGGATTTAAATAACAGGGGCTGTAAGAGAGAAATTAGCATTTCCCTCTTCCCTATGGCTGGCTATTAATGTCTTGAATTGATATGTGATCTATAATTTACACTTACACAATGTGGAATGACGCAGGCTTCAATACAAAGACGAAGACTTCAAAAAAATAGGGGACAACAACTGGAGATAGTTCACCCATACAAGCATTTATGTTAGGATGTCTCTTGGTGATCAAGCCCACCGGCCCTTGCATGTCAGGAGAGTGGACATAAGCAGATTTCACAGTTTGTTTGTCAGAAACTTTGATAATATAGATACTGGACAACATCACAGTAGTGTAAATGGTGTTATTCTCTCAGTGGAGCCACTGTGATCACTTGACAGCAGACTTAAAAGAAAAGCTGCCTTTTTTTTTTTTTTAATTGTCTGGTGGATTTTGACTTGGCACCCTCCAGCAGGGCCCTGTTAGACTCCAGACAGTTAGTAAATTCGGCCCACAAAAGAGGAAAATAAAATCAAGCTTCACAGCGGTTTCACTTTATTGAGACAATATTAGTGCACACAAACCACTTTTTTTTCTTTAAAAATACCATAAATTAGGAAGAAAACAAGGAACGATATAAAACAAGCAAGGAAAAAAAGTGCATGTTAACCATGGTATACACCACATTGTCTTATACTGTAGTTTACAACCTTTTTTTCATTGTTGTTTATGTATATTTTTGTCTGCTTGTAGGTATGTGTTATGTTTTTTTTGACATGTCTCCAGCTCGGATGGATATGTCATGCCTTTGGGGGTCAGGGCTGAGATCCAGGCTGCTTCCCTGAGTTGTGTTCAAAAGAAAAGGTTACAGGCCTAAAAACATAAACATCACCGTGGAACAGTTTCGGGTTTACATTTGTGCTTTTGATCAGAGCTGTAAGTTATTCTGAATGAATGGCAGTAACCCCAGCTTAGCCTACAACTATGATATTTATTTCAGGAGGTGTGTAGGAAGTAAATCTAAAGGAACAAAAACTGTAAACAATAAGGTCTTGGCTGCTGAAATCCCTGGATTTTTTGTTTTCCTTTCTTCTCTAAGGAAAGAAAAAGTAACATTCTATTCAAGAAGACTGCAAAAATATAGTTTCCATTTTTTTTGTACATCATGCCAACATGTTTAGTGGGTTCGGATACTTGTTTTTTTTTTATCAAAAAAAAAAAAGAAAAAAAAAGGAAAAAACACTATGTGAAAACAATAGAAATCTACAAATAATATGACTGAGAAATCACATCACTAACCAAATCCAGAAATGTTAGCACCAAATTTCAGTCTCAACCTTTTAATATCGCAGGTCTATACGAACTACTTTGTCCACAATAGCTTATGAAAATGTCCATGTTGGCAGTTATTTCAGTCGTTCCAGTTTCATCAGCTGGATACTAGTATGCTACCTAAGTATTTACATAAAATCTAAAAAGAAACAAACAATAATATACAACTGTTTGAGCTTCAGGACATAAAGGGAAGGAACACCTGGCATGTCAAGGGCCATTTGAAAACCACAAGGATCCAGGCTGATATGTACTGTATGTTTGAATATCTATGTCATTGTATGGCAGTGAGAAGTCACTGTTTTGAGGTATATTTTTGCTTGCAGGTGTAGACGCGGCTTTCACACTCTGTCTCGTCTTTCCTTAGTATGTCATCTGAGTGAGAAAAAAATGCATCTGTTCGTTATAAAGTGCTAGGCATTTAATGAATTTTAAAAAGCAGCAGACTACTGCTGCCGGTAAGGCTGATCAAGCATACTTTCTAGGAATGTAAAAATTAAAAATGGAGTGATGAATTCGTTTTTATATTCCAGGTTGTGGCTCCTAAACAGATCTGCTACTTGTTGCCATGACGTTTGTACATCTCCAGTTGCTGCAGGATGGTCTCCATCCTGGTCTGTGTCCTCGACAGGAGCACTACATTGCTACATTGGAACTGACAGAATGATGTGCCTAGCATGAAGGTGTATTCTTCTCCCCAACAACTTGAAAACACTTCATTTCGCCTCCAATCCACCAAACCTGACTATAGTCTCAGCAGAAAACCCTCTTCTATGACAGCATAGATTCTACTCAAAGTAATGCTATTGTATTGTGAGGATAACACCGTGGCAGATGTATGCATTTATGGGAATCCTTCACCCACCCAAAAAATAGCAAATAGAAACTAGTAGAGACCAATTCGGCAGTTATCTCATGTACTATATCCCACTCTCACTATCATGCTGCAGTTTAGATAGTGGGATTTTGTAGTTTGGGAATAGAGGTGCAAAGAGAGGAGAGTCAGGGGAGCAGCCTCAGATCTTTTTTTTTTTTTTTTGAAGTAGGAGAAGGCTCATGTTGTTTTTGGTGTTTGTTTTCGTAGTTGTGTCAGTATGCGTGTTCTGTTTTTCTCTGCTCCTTTTTCGCACTTTACATCTTATGTTGGAATAGTTTTTGGACTGATATGTGTTTTTAAAAGGAATGTTTGTTGCCATCCGTACGGGTGTGTGTGTGTATGTGTGTGTATGCATGTTTTAAATATGCATTTGTGGTGTTTGGGTGCGCATGAAGCTGCTGGAATCTCACTCAGTCAATAACTTGATCTCATTGGCGAGGAGGGTGTTGAAGTTGTAGGCTGGATCGGGGAGGTCGGGCAGGGTGGGGGCTGTGGACTGACGGGGCGAGGACTGGGAGGGCTCCGCCAGCTCCGGGTCACTCTCGCTGGAGGTAGAGCCCATGCTCATGTTGCAGACGGCTTCGGGCAGCGAGCCGCTGCCTGCAGGCACGGTGCACACCTCGGGCTCGCTGCTGGTCTCGCTGGTGCTCGACACGACGGACAGCAGGGACATCTTGCGGGTGAGGCGGCTGGGGAGCATCGACAGGGCGTAGTCGGCGACGATGCCAGCCACGTCCATGCCGCAGGCCTGGTCGAAAGCGATGAAGCCCACGTTGGCGTTGGCCTCGCAAACCACAAATGAGCCGTCGTTGAGCTGCAGGAGGTCAATGCCGCACACATCCATGCCGAGGATGTTCGACACCTCTATGGCCAGCTGCTTGCCCTGCTCGCTCAGTGGGCACATCATACCCACACCACCTGACAATTCAGAGAGACAGCATGCTGGTTAATACCCACCAACGCCTGTGATTCGTTCACTTGACATTATGTAAGACTGACCACGAGAAGATCTTGATTTTCATCCAATCTTTTATGAATCAAAGGCAATCTTAATATATTATATATAGATCTGGATGATTGAAGATATTTAAAAAGGATTTTGCTTTTTTCAATATTTAATACCAGAATGAAGTACCACTTCAGATCCGCCTAGAGTCAGTGTGGAAGTGGAAGTTTCAACATGAATCGTTACATAAATGCAGAATAATCTGATGACTGATGTCCTAAATATGTCACAGTGCATTACGGCCTCAGCTCGGCTAACACTGCTCATGCTCTGACACTGAAAATCAGTTTCATCAGCTGGAATGTTGTGCCACTTGGTGTCTCGGGGGTAGATTCAGGACAGGCTTGTTGATTTTCCACAGTTACCAAAAAACTGTTTTATGGAGCAGAATGAGCAATATATTTTTTATTATATCATAAATTTAGAAAGATGTTATGAGCACTACATTTTGTCCTCATGTACAAGAGTGATTAGAGCAGGACATTTGGCTTTTAAATGTGGCACAAGTGCAAAATCAAGTTTAAAAAAAACCCTCAAAAGATAACTGTGGACGGAGCCTGGATAATGTTAAAAAACGGCCCTGTCTCTAAATTTCTATTATCACTCGTACAGCTTTTGTTCTCCCACAATAGCAAGACCATTTAGTCATGTGACTATAAATAAAACATTAAGACGGTTACTCAACTCTACTCAACTGCAGGCAGATCTTAAATTATCCAAATAATCAGTACGTGAAAAACTACCACATTAAAAATAGACCAGTCGTGCAAATTGAGAAATCGCTCTGGTGTAGTGCTGCTGTCAGGCGTAAAGACAAAAAGGAGGAGCGTCTTTGGTAATTTAGCGTGTGTGATCATTGTCGTCATTGCCTCTCTGTCGTTTGCTTACCCAGGGAGCAGTTGCTTTGCATGCGACCATCCGTGGAGCAGCGCAGCATGGAGCCGATGACACGGCCGCCCACCAGGACCACCCGCACATCGCGGCCATGCGACTCCTTGACGTACTCCTGGAAAAGGTAGGGGGTATCATGGCGGATCAAGTGGCACAGATCTGTCAGGTGGTGTTTGTCCCGTGCCAGGAACACAGCCTTGCCTACGAGAAGGAAGGAGACACAAGATGAAGGAAGAAAGGAAAGATGAGCAGGTCTGCAGGCTGTCATGACACACACTGTTGTTTATAATGACATGATATCAAGATTCTTGCAGGGTCTGTCGTTTGCAAAATGTTCGCTGAGGTGGAACAACTTCCTTAAAGTTTTGCTGACCAGTAGCTGCTTCTGCTGACCAAGTCTCATGTCAGTTCCCATTTCTCATCTAAGAGACAGGATAGTCTTGTTAACAGCTACACAACTGCTTCTCACAGAGGATAGAAGATGCCTGTTTTAATTAGCACTGCCTGGCCCTGTCTCTGTATTGTCATGACCTCTGACCCCTGTTCCAGGGAAAATCATGTGATTGCTGTGGGTCTGCACATCAAGCAGTCCAAGCACTATGACAAGGTAATCCCTTGGGAACATTATGTAGATGTGAGAATGGACAGTGGCAGGCATTATGTAACACTTTGTGAGTCAAAAACAAGACAACCGAGGAATAATGTCAGCGTGACTCACTCAGACAAGTAAACATTAGTGGTTTGTGTCGACCATACCATAACCTTGTTAGGAGAATGTACACTTAAAAGCATACACAATGCAATGAACCGCAAAATTTCAACAATTAAAAGAGCTAGTAAACATTTATTATTCATAAGATTTTAATCCAGTCTTTTGTATTTGTTCACATGCCTTTATACGTGCTCATGAGAAGGAAGGCGAGTTGGACTTGAGCCACTGTCAACGGTCAGCCACAGTGAGACTGAAAGCATCCCTTGAGACGCCGGACTCCATAAAAAGGGTCAAGTTAGTGGTTGGCCACTGGCTGCTTTTTCTAACAATGTGCTGTGATGGCAGCCTGTGCTAACCAAGACCATTGTTATTCCTCCAAACAATGGCAGAGCCACTCAAGTGTCAATAACTGTGAATAGGAACGGGTTAATGGGTCAGCAGAAACTGGGGCTTATCTCTTGGAAGCAAAACATTAATGGCAAGGCTCAAACTTCCCACACAAGCTTCTTCTGAATTCCGGCAAAATGAGGAAACTGGGGTCAGTTTGTAAACCAGAAACTGAAATGGTTAACCAAACAACCATCCTGAAGGCATTACAAGCTTCTGTTCTGTGTTTCTTGCAGCACTGCGGTCCTAATCATTTAACACTCTGTCAGTGAATTTCATATAAGGGTGGACTGAACTCCAATGAGGGACCTGCAGGGTACAGATTTTTGAGGAGAGGTGTGGTGAGCAGATTGGATGACACAAAGTAGCAGACGAATTGTTTTACCTCTGTGGCCACGTGCATTCTTCACCACCACGGGGTAGCCAAGCGGCTCTGCCTCGTCAATCATCTTACGGAAGTTGTCGTGCCCTCCTGGGAAATGCCCATGCATACAAACACAAAAAGAGGCAGACGCACAAACATGCAACAAGAAAAATAGATTTAAAAATTGTCCTTGTTTTGATGGCATGGTTCACACATTACAGCCGGCTTAGCAGGGTGGGAGAGGGAATGTAGCATGTTGCTATGGAAATACAAGTGACTCAAAACAGCAAGGCTGGAGGAGTTGTTGTCCTGCGCTTATACTTGCTGCTTGATTCATGAGACTGGAACAGAGGAGTCACTGAACGATGCATTAATGTGAAGCAGCTGACCATATCTGACAGTGATTTATAACGGCAGCTTGTAGCAGCAGATGTGCTTCAGCTTCCTCTGCTTTGGCTTGAGAGATGATTAGAAATGTAAAAAATACCCAAAATATTAGGTATTAATAATTTATTTGCCCCTGCTCTCCCATTCTTTGCTGTTACCGTTACCTGTTACTGTCTCCCTGTCTTTGTCTTCCTGTCTGGCCTGATATGGCATTCAGTCAAGAGAACAGATGTGAGCTACTCTGTCACATGGCTTTTTCCAGATGCACTAAATCACATGTGTTTTCAGTCTGGGGGGGAGAACAGAGGGAGAAGAGGAGGAGTGGACACCAAATGTGGTTTTCCAAACACGTCATAAGCTGTTTAGGTAGAGGGAAGGAGGCAATGGCATCTTTTATTCTGAAAAATCATGAGGGGGGCATGGGGTGGGCCG